AGTTTTTTATACTCTTTCCTACAGTCTTTGCCTCTGCTATCCTATTTTCTGACTTGTACTTGCGATTTTTACTTGCATTGCGTTTCCGATTTTTTCCAAACCACTTAAATTTCGGTTAACGGAAGGCTTATTTCGTAAATGAATAGGTCAGCAATTTCTGTGTGTGGCACCTTCATGTAATACATTTTCTATGAGTGATTTATCCCTTCTTTTCAGGACATGGGTTCTTTGAACGAGATTACATCAGACTTTGAAATCGACATCCTATTCACACAACTATGGAGGGATGAGTCGCTGTCATTTGCTCACATGTTAGCTTGTAAAAGGTGCTCAAATGTTACCTTGTTTTTCAAATTCCAAGCTATTATAACTATTGATCGCTTTTCGATTTGTTAGCTACAAAGCGCGCTCATGTCGTTAGGAGGCGGGGGAGGGGCATCCAAATGGGTGTGCCTGTTAAAGTTCTTGCAACTGAGCCTTAGGGAGGAGATGGAATTCCAGGAGAGGTGGTGAAGGTGAGCAACTCTGTTCTACCTGCCGTTTCCCTCTGCTGAGCTTGATCGTATTGTCACCTCAGCGCCATTTTCAGAGGTCCTGTTTTGAATGTCCCCCTCCCCCGCCCAAGGCCATTAGCGCCTTGGAAAGATTTAGGATCAATTCCTGAGAAGGGAGCTGTTGTGGACGGTGGAAGAAGTGATTTTTTAGGAATATTACGATGGAGCCACGTATGTTGCAACGGATCTGGACGCCGAATACCTGTTTGATTAACTCGAAGAGGACGATGATCCACGCGTCGCCCAGTGAGAATGTGATGCTGATCCTTTACGAGGTACGAGGCTGCAGTTTCAGTCATTTCCTGTCCAAAACTCACCCAGGAAGCGGATTCGCATAATGCTTCTCTGCTGACCTTTGGCCACATTCGTTCAACACATTGCATCTTTGGCGCGAATGAACACGGGCCGCCGGCAATTAGACTAATCACAGCCAGGAAGCTGTGCAGATCGGGAATTATTCAATGGGCATTACCTAAGTGTTTCGCTGCCGAAAGAGCGCGTGGAACAAAGCGGGAGTTCTATGATTTTCAGGCGCGAAAAATCATGTTTGGCTAACTTTTTGAGTTGGAAACGTATTTTGCATTTTGTGGGGTCTTGTGCAAAGCAAGAGGCGATATGAGACGTAATAACCGAGCAAGATGTAATCCAATCTCCCTCCGAGATGAAAGTGCGCTCCCAACGGACGGGGCACGGCTACGGCCACAGTAGCACCTCCTGATGAGAGACATTCACTGAACATGGGGACCATGGCAATCCTGGAGAAAAAACCTGGAATATCTCTCAAAGAAGAGCTGTAAACGGGTGTGGGGGCGTCATTGCGGCCATCTCTTCATCGCCATTACTTGCACCATTTATTTAACGGTAGTGAGTAGTCTGAACTGCAGCATTCTATTCCTCATTGAATTTTCAAATACGGTATGAGTGGAATTAAGCGTTTCTTTGTACTAACCATAAAGGCTATTTTATCGTCACTCCGTCAATAGCTAGCTATTCCAATTCGCCTAGGGAGTCCAGCTAATCAGAAAAAAAATCCGCAAAAAGGTGCTTGATTGTCCCTCCCAATGCTAACTTCTAAATAAGGTCCTTCTGAGAGCGGCCGCTAGGACTTAGGACGAGCTCCCGGCCCTTGGTATTTACTTTTTTCGCAAAACGCGAGACGTTTGCCTGCAACCTCTCGTCGGCGGATGTGTTTCTGCTAGTATCACTCCCTGAGTTCATGCATATCGTTAGTCAGTTTTAGTTCTTCAATCTTTCTTTCCAATGAGGATTTCTTAATTTCTTGGTGATTGCGCTTTAGGATCTTGATTAGTTTGCTTGAAGGTTAGTGCGCTGTTTAGGTTGCAGTTCCGCAGCGAAAAACTTTCATAACACTTACCAGGAAAGGCATTCAACTTCCCATGGAACTTTGAGATGAGACCCAGATATATCGATAGAGCTTCAAACGCTGATTACAAATATGGAAACTAAAACTGCAAAATGAACCTGCCAAGGAAGTTGTGAGCAGTCAAAGTTGGCTGAAGTAAAGCATTACACTAGCCTCCGGCCTTTCTGGTGCCCTCGCTATTCACTCTGGAGGTCATAAGCTCTCCTCCCGTCGGAGCGCAAATTCCGAGAGCACTACCACTACTCCACGGCGACTTTGAAAGCCCGGAGGCTAGTGTAATGCTTTACTTCCAGCCAACTTTGACTGCTCACAACTTCCTTGGCAGGTTCATTTTGCAGTTTTAGTTTCCATATTTGTAATCAGCGTTTGAAGCTCTATCGATATATCTGGGTCTCATCTCAAAGTTCCATGGGAAGTTGAATGCCTTTCCTGGTTAAGTTCCGATAAACTTAGCCCTAACCGGAGACTCAAAGTTTGCCTAATGCTTTCCGGGTAAGTGCGCTACCCATAAAACGAGAAAGCCACGTTTCACTTTCCTCAGCCACTCAAAAAGGGGGCCTTTCAGGGCAAGCCACGCCTTTTCAAAATCATTTGTTGCATATTGTAGGGAAGCATGTAAGGGAACACAAAACCATATTCAATTTCCGCTCTTATTTCATTTTACGTACCACAAAAGAAGCATAAGGTACTACAGTGGTTCCTCACCCCGTGGCGATTAAATTTCGCATCTGGTGTTGACGCCTGGAATTGGTGCCACGCAGCGTAAACTGGTTCGAGATCACTGGATGTCAAATTCATCGTCAGGACCATTTTGAAGCCAACAAGTGGCCGCCAACCTTGATTGCAAAATTTAGTCGCCGCGGGGGATCGAACCATCAAGGGTATCATTTCACCATTTTTGATACTACTAAAACCGTTCAGCGAAAACGAAACATGGTTTTGTGGTCCATACATGCGTCCCTACAATATGCAAGAAACCTTTTTGAAAAAGTTCCGGGTCGACCCTGAGAGACCCCCCACGCTGTCAGTGACCGGTATGCATAAAACCGATTTCGAGTCTCGTCTAGGGCAAACTTTTAGAAACGATGCACAATCTCCCGTGAAAGGTATTTATGGCGCTTTTCTCAGGAAAAGGTGTGGCATTCCCTATTTATAGAGAAGAAGCGTCCCACTAAGCACTGAAAAAGTTATAGGTACAGTGGGACAGCAGGTATTTTCTCTAAAATGCGCCTTGAAGTGATAGGAGGGTACGTCACTATCAGACCGATTCTGAGAGTGCGTTTGAGTGGATTATTGAGTAGATGCGCTACTCCTCCACCCACTATTCAGAATGATTCCGAGCTGTGTGCATCAGGGCCATAAAACTCCTTGCGAAGGTGGCGGCTCATCGTTGCCGGATAGAAAAACCAGTATACGGCCCCAGATTTGCATTAACGCGCTGCTGGTAGACTTAGCTCGCACCTCAGTACGCCTATTCTGAGCCGAAACGACGTTTGGGATTGCCTCTTTTGCCATTGTGCACTAAAGGTTCAGCAAGAACTGAGCCATCTGTTCGCTTCCAGGGAAGAGTTTGGTGCGGAGTTATCGACTTTGCAGCCCACAGTACAAGTTGATGATATTGATGAACACAATTTTCAGAATGGTACGGTATGGATAAATCATCGCCTGTCCGTGAAATCCCCGTGCAATCTCGATTTAAGGCAGTTTCCATTCGATGTGCAGAGTTGTATACTAATCCTTGAATCATACAGTCACAATGCTGAAGAGGTGAGTTGGAGGAATTTGTGTGTCGGGCTTCTTGTAAAGGAGCGGTCATTTTTAAAGGCACATTACATAATGGAGAAAGGCCACTTGTGGGTACCCCCAGGAGGCCCGTCACGCGGCAAAAAGGCAAAGTCAGAGGACGAGTTGTGCTCGTACTATAGGGATCTCGCGTCAAGTTAAATAGAGTGTTCCACTGCACGTCCTACATCACACACCTCGCACTGCAACTCGTCCGCCGACTCTGCCTTCTTGCCGCGCGACGGGCCTCCTGGGGGGTCTTATTTGTCATTCGTAATGACTCGAAAATTCTTGCCCATAATTCATTGTAGGGAAGACCAGCCCGATTGCAAGTCAGTTTTTGCACTCCAAACACGAAGTTTGGTTACAATTAACGTTCCCGAGGAATGGAAACTTTGTGGGCCCCCGTGAACTCAGACCTACAGAATTTGTTCCCGGACATAGCGCGCCACTTCCACTTACACCACTTGCCGCTCAGTGAAATGAAACTGGAATCAATCCTCTGTGGATAGATGGACCTTTCTCTGAAACTTTGTGTATACTGCGTTTCGGTGCAATCCGATAAGCGCGGGATCACTCCGCCAAGGTGTTTCAGCGCCTGTTGACCTCATACCGATCACTCCTCATTCAAAAAGCGTCTGTCGCTCTCATCGGCCATTTTGCTCCACTCACCGAAACTCTACGCCCAGTGCGTCTTCGTGTGAGCACAGTTTAGGAGGGAACAGGAATTCTTTGATTTTACTGTATTAACCAGACTCTTTTCTTTTTTTTTTCTTTACAGCCTGTTCATCTAATGTTGTCCATCTTTCATTTACATTGCACAAGAATCCAATAGTTTGATTAGTGTGCTGCTTTATCACATCCATTTCATCTTTCTCTATCGCGCAAATATGCACCCACAATTATAAGAATGAAGATTTTACATCTGATAGCTCATAGACTCGGTGATCCACAATCGTTTGTCAAATTGAGTATTTTTAATCAAACACTCTTTATCTACATACATTGTGGTTCATATCTTTATTAGATTAATAATTATCTGAACTCTTATCTTGTCCTGCTAGCTATACCCCTATTGCCTTTCGACGAATCCTTAAGCCACTGAGTATTGTTCTCTTTTCAAGGAATTTTCGGCGTCGCAACGTAGGAAAACGGGTCAAATATGAATCTTGTTGAAGCCTGTTTCAGAAGCTTTCTCTTTTTTCTAACTGTACTCGGTAGATTATCAATTAGTTTATTCATTTTTGTTGTTTTTTATTCTTGTTTTCCTCAATCAGACCAGACATTTCACAGATCTCCCCGGCCACTAACTAAAATTCGCCTGCGACTCAGTCGCATTTTTTTGTTAACTATATTAGAGGGCTAAGTGGTGAAGTGAGCAAGTGGCGCGCTCACCACGCGAGCGGTCCGGGGATCAAATCCTGGGTCGTGAGTCGTGGCCAACCAAGCCTTCCATCCCTCCGGGGTCGGTTAATTGGTACCAGACTTGTCTGGGAGGATAAAAACACTGACTTGTACATCGGCTGGTTTCTGTGAGCCATCGGATAGGACGGATCACAATCGAATAGGCATTGTGATTCTGAATGAAAGTAGAATGCGTGGCCAAAAAGGAATTGACCAACGCCTAATTTATCTGTCTTTGCCTTTGTTATCACTCATTGAGGCATGCCTTTTGAACTGAACTCCTTCCAGTTGAACAGTTTTTTTCGAGTCACACTGTTGCATTCCGTGTTAGAGGGGTACCTTTGTTGCGGAACACCAGCATTGGAGAGATGCAAATTATCTACTTGGTATCTCTGAACGTTTCTTGCCACCATTGCCATCATTTATTCACGACATTAACGGGACCCTTTTTTAGCTTTGCCGCGCACTTAATTATTCCCCAGTGCGAGATCACAATAATTGTGGGAGCCAGCCAATATTATAGTTATTGTTGGTTTCCTCATAGTGAGTCTGACAACAATTAACCGATCCCGGTGATGTGGATTTTTATGAAGGGTCCATGAACACAAGCGAGGCGCACCCTGGAAGTTTAACCCTTATACTTGTGCTCCGAGGGTGTGACTATTTATTCAGCGGGAAATTTCTCGTACAATGTAATGACTGAAATTAAGCGGATATTCGCAGCAAGGGACAACCAGGCTATGAATCCCTAATACAATTAATTATAGGTGCAGCTACGATGGATGGAAGAGGCAGTGACGTTGATGAAGCCAATTCAGCTACCAGACTTCGACATGGTTCACTATGAGACCAAGAAAGAAAATCTCCTCTACCCGAATGGATACTGGGACCAACTACAAGTCAGTTCGAAAGGAACCCGTGAACTTTGCTCTAGATAAAAATGTGAAAAATTAGTGTAAATATGGTGAATAGGATCTGGTAGAGAGAGCAGAGCGGACCAGCGGAAATTTGGGCAAAATTTCCCAGAACTTTTTTCAATAGTGTTCTTCTTGATACCGCACATAACCATTACAGAATCGAGGTCTTCTGGAGCCTTCTCCGAGATACACGTATTGGCTTTTTTCTAGGTGATTCTGCAAAAAAAAAAACAGCAGAACCTGCGGATATTCGTGCTTTAGTCTCGCCGATGTAATACGTTGCATCGCATGCCAATTCTCCTGCTCTTACCATTTTGCCTTCTTCGTATCCATGTGAAGACCACTTTCTGTGAAAATCAACAACGTGTACATACTTTTGGGGTTCTACCCCTCCATTTTTCGCCGATTCTTGCTTTTGAACTCAACTTTCACTTCATCTTAGCAATGATTTGAACAGAATTCTTCGGCAGCTTTGCGTAGAAAGCTTTGTTTAAATGGGCATTTCTACTACTTATATACGCTTATTTAAAATTGTTATGACATTTTTGGTTCAGATCACACATTATTATTCAGGCCCTCTACGTGTGGGCAGTATTTTTCACGCTGTCTTCGGTTTTGACGGACATTGATCCGATATTTCCTAATGCACTTCTTTTTTTTGACCGCCAACTGAGTCTAGTAGAGGAAGAAAGAAAGAAAGGCAAAAAAAGTGAAGACTAGATTCTGGGAAGAATCGAACCTTTAGTCATCCTGGGCTATGTCCGGGCGCATGGAGCATCAGAAAAGAGCAGGTCAGGCGCATAATCCGGCCGCATGAATCCTGGGCATCGTGAAGAAATGAGTCGTTCTTGAGGCGGAGCGCAGAGTCGTAGGGAATGTTGTGTTTTCCTACAGTATCCACGTATATTGCAATAGGTATGTGGCTGTGATAAGCTTAGCTTTAGTTATTTTCCCATGTGTTGGCGCATTCTATCATTCCTTCCCATCATATGAATCACAATTGAATGAAATAATGAGCACTGTAAATCGCGTAGGAGTCGCGATATCTACTCCAAATCTTGCTTTTGTTTATCCTTCATGAGGCATTACTAGGCGAAGGGGCCAGATCGCCCAGATCAGTGGGGCTTTCAATTTTGCCGAGGCTTGCACATGGTATGTCTGAGGGACAAAAACTCTATTTCGTTTAGCATACATAGCGTCGAGATCGCTGTATACGCAATGATCATCGAATTTCTAGAAAAGGATTTCATTCCACATATCTCTATGGTAAATCATTCTTCAGGTTGTCTTTACGTTCAAGCGTCGCTATGGGTTCTACATTATTCAAGCCTATGTTCCAACATATCTTACGATAATCGTATCCTGGGTATCCTTCTGTATGGAACCAAAGGCACTGCCAGCACGAACTACTGTCGGCATTTCATCACTACTAGCCTTGACATTTCAGGTATTTCACTTACCAGGAAGGTCTTTCAGGGCGTGGTGAGCTTTTTGAAAACGGTCTTTTGCATGATATAGGGGCACATGCGGGGACCACAGAACCATGTTTCATTTTTCCTGAACGGCCCTCTGAATACCAGAAAAGGGGGTCCCTAGTTCGATTCCTCGTGGTGACAAATTTTTGCATTTCGAGTTGACGTTCAAAATTCGCGCAAAATGGAGTTAGCATGAATAATTAGTACCATATTCATGATTAGGACCGATTTTGCGCGAATTTTCAGACGTTAACTCGAAATGCAAAAATTTGTCACTACGAGGAATCGAACTAGGGACCCCCTTTTCTGGTGTTCAGAGGGCCGCTCAGGAAAAATGAACTACAGCAAAAGACCGTTTTCAAAAAGCTCACCATTTCCTGAAGACCTCCCTGGTTTAGTCTTGGCACTAGGCCACTGTTTCAAAAATCACAATCGTTACCTAGTGTGAACCTTCTTTTCTTCTTCTTATAATCCATCTGTTGCCTACAACCAATCAACCATCAGTTGGGAACCTTACAACGGGGGCGTATTTGTGGAAGTGTGCATAGTATTTCTCCTGAGATATCCCCCGAAGAGATGAAAAAAGAAGAGAAAAAGAAGACTTTTTGGAGAGGTGGGGGATTTTCTACGAAAGTTGGAGAGTTAGCGGGATTATCAAGGTTTGAACAGCAAAATTCAGAAGGAAATCCTCCTATATTTTGCTGTTCAAACCTTAACAATCCTCAGAGTGGGGAAGAGATGGGGGGAGGGGGGGAAAAGTTGCCTTTTGAGAAAGTTCAACACTTCCGAGACCCAGTGAAAGTTCTCATGAATGTGCTGACTTTATGGCCAAAATGTTTCCTCTCTCTCGACTTTACCCGTCACATTTTCTTGCTTTAGCGACGCGCTCACCCATGTCGTGTCCATTTTGAAACCTCCCTCAACTGAAAGTGAAATGAAGCCACTGAAGAAATAATTTGCCAAACTTATGCGACGCAATGAACCACACGTTTTCTGGGGGTTCTTCCAAAAGGCCAATTCGGGGATGTGTACAGAGTATGTGTGGTGAGCGGAGCTACCTGGTGGCGGGTCTTCTCATATGGGCGTGTCCTTTGATGTCTTAAAAAAGCCTCAAGCATGTATTTATAGACGTAAGTAATTACACCAATTTCAGTTTGGAAACATTTTGAAGAATCTGCCTCGTGTCTCCTACGTCAAAGGTATGTAAATTGATTTCAAAGTACTGGAAGTATCGAAGTTTCTCCAAATATTCTCTGAACATTGAAATTCTTTCAGCTATGGACGTATGGATGTTAGGGTGCATATCATTTGTCTTCGGTACCATGGTTGAATTAGCGTTCGTCTGCTACATAAGCCGATGCCAGAACAGTGTTAGGAGGTGAGTTGTATGGCGGCTTCTATGAATTCCCCTAACCAGCGTTTTTCCCTGAGCTACTCCTGGAAGTTAATTGACTTGCTTTTGAGTTGTATTTATTTCATTTCAAAACAAGTGGGGTAAAAATGGAAAAATGGGGTAAAAAAACAAACCGAACTGATGTAACAACTCATCAAAGCCAAAAAAGCCAAAAAAAAACTGAAAGCTTGGTGCGAAAAAATATGATTGGGTGGACTTTGCATTTGCATATCTCTTCGCATCGCTTTAATATATACATATATATATATATTACTTATTTAATTTATATATCAATCCCATCCACCGCCTACTCTAGTCCGTCACATACAAATCGTTGCTGTCCTGCTTTATTTATATTTATTTATTTATTTATTTACTTATTTATGCGTTCAATGACGCGCCAGTTACATCGGACTGACTGCATGACTCAGAAAAGAAAAAAAATAATAGAACTCAGCTGGAACTATAATGAATATGCTAATAAAACAGTTGTAAATTAACAAATCTATGAAAAAATGGGCATGTTTGTCACATCTTATATGGAGCTGCTATTTTGTAGGCCAATTCGGTAATTGTAGCAGGTCTCCGTTTTAGCTATTAGTTTCGGTGCTAAAAGTGTGATTGAGTCGGAGGAAGTCCGGGGACATCGAGGCGGCGCGTCACCTGCTTCGTCTGGCTGCATGTTTGAACTTCTGGGAAATGCATGGAAGGAAGTGTATGCCAGTCGGTAAGGTGGGACAGAAAAGCTTTTAGTTCAAGTTTTGCCAATCATAAGGGCTCGTTTACAGTCCCAGATGCGCTCTTCCATCTTGGCTGCAGCCATTTTTCTTACGGACTTTACCGTGCTAGGAAGAGAGCCCCATTTGAAGAGTTGTTCTTTCTTCTACCCCCCCCTGTTTTCGTTTTCGGGCCCGTTCAGCGACGGAATATGCCCTTTGATGAATCGCAGTAATAAACATCTGAGGTGAAATTTCTAGCAATTGTCTTCGCTATCTTAAATTGCTGGTGTTTTATCTCTATTTATATAAAATAAAATAAATAAATAAATTCGTACATCGTATATTTAGATATTTTTAAATTGTCATACTGCCTTTACAGTGCTGAACGACGCAAGGAGCGTGTACGAACATCGCAAATTTGGACTAACGGATCGTGCAGGAATCGAGCAGGGCACACGAATTCGAATGGAAACAACAAGCATGGTAGGTAAAACAGTCTTAACAACTAAAGAACTAGTAAATAGCCGGGAATTTCGAAGAAGAGAACAATAATCCGACAAATTCATATATTTTATACTGAAAAGCTTATTTTTTGTAGTCGAGCCGAACTCTATGATTGTGTAAACTTCGGAGGTGGGGGGGGGGGGGGAGAAAATTCATGATTGGGATGGGACTGAACGTCGCTTTTGTTTTTGTTTATGGTTAGACTTTTACTGGTAAGCAAACTGGGGTGATTCTTGCAAAAAATGAAAGTTGGGGCGATAAGAAGACTGGAAATGAAGAAAAAGGAAAACGAGAACGCTCTAATCAAAGGCTCAATTCAGTTGTGAGCTTCGACTTTGTTGAGGAAAGGAGATACTGCGCGCGAATGTACGAAAAAGCGAAGCGGTCGAAGCGGTTTTGACAGGGCCCTATGCTTGCGGTTTCAAGCAGTGTCAACTGTCCGTTCGCGCTATTCGAACGAGGGAGTCGCATTTGTGATTTCGGGAAGGAGGTCGCATTTTGGTGTTGAGCGAGGTGAATGATCCTTGGGAATGTGCGAACGGAGTTGGTTAAGAGGGGTTGATATTCAAACGGATTTCCTGACGACTTCAAATTGTTTTGTGGAAGGAGCGTGAATTAGACGGAAATGGAGGAGTTGCCGCTTTATCATAACAACTTGCCCCCGATCGAAGGCAGTTTTAGAGGAGAAAGTGGTCGAAGTTTGGGCGTGTCGATTGGTCTCAGAATCAAATGCTAGAATACTATAGAAATAGCCAAGATCATGAGGGTGGTGGTCGGGGTAGAGTGGAGGGATCATATGGGGGAGCATCGTTAACCTTGTGATGGTGTTGGGGGGGAGTCGCAAAAATTTGAAAAAATACGAACGCGACGGCTTACCTTGCGTTCAAGCTGAGAGTTATGTTCAAAAATTGTCTTGACCACTTCATGTAGAACACCTCGACGTATCTTTGACGTACAAAAACGAGCGCTGTATCCTTACATCTGCCCTGGATGGCAGACATATTTTATTGAACCGAAAAAAACGGTTATCAACGGACGGTCTACAACATCCTCCGAAGACG